TAAAGCTAAACCAGGGAGAGGTACTAGAGGTGAGGGTCCAGTGGTTGGGGCTGTTTTCAGGGAGTCTTTAAGAATTCCAAAAATATGATAAAATAATACTTCTGTCAGTTTCAATGAAAAATAAAACTTTGATCAACTGGGTCCTTCAAATAACTAGAATTTTGTATGCACCAGACTTTTGGGTAAAAGGCGAATCACAAAACACACACACACAAATATGATCATACTTTAAAGAATTAGGTATGACACATTTCAGGAGTTGTACCCCAGTAGCCCAAACACCGGCTCTCCTACAGCCCTTTTCAAGTTTCAGGGCTGTAGTCTGGCCATGAACTAGAACTCCTGCCTAATATCAGCGGTCAGGTCTCTTCTTCCTACTGGCCTGTAGTTCTTTAAAATTAAGGAACTATAATTTATTCCACTGTGTATTCCACACACCCTCTAACACAGACCTCTGCACATTTCAAATACTTAAATATCTGGCAATGAATTAGAAAATGCTGTGCATCTTTGTTAGTGATTGTTAGCAGTATAGTTAGATTTTAAATCATTATTTCTTGTTCAGTGCTTTGGTGTCAGATGGATTTGTGTTTACATTTTCGTTCTACCAATCACTAGTGGTATGAACTTGGCAAATTACTTAACTCTCAAGCTAATTTGCAGGGTTGCTGTAAGAATCCGTGATTAAATATTTAACATGTCTGGGAGCTGCTATTATTGCCGTTATTATTTTGTCTTGAAAGCAGAAGTTTCCTGGCTTGTAGTTTATTATTCCACAGTTGTGAGCTTTTGTGTTTTTTTGTAATTGCATTTCCACTTAGAGGGTTGAACTCCCATTACTTAAGTCTGGCTTCAGTGAGGGGTTTCTGTTTGACCCACATCCTGAATGATGAGTAGATCTTTAAAAGGCAGAAAGGGATGGAAAAGGCATTCCCGACAGAGAGAACAGCATGTGCAAAGACCCAGGGGCAGGAGGGAGAGTGACACGTGAGGGCAGCTGACCGTGGTTCAAGGGGGGGTGTACATGATGGGCACTGGACAAACCCTCTGTGGCTAAGTGTGTGAGCAGGAGCCAGATCTGAAGGCACAGTGTGAGACGCTAGGTCTGGTTCTCAGTAGTGGAGTCTGTTCTTCTTATTTTCTTCATTAACTTTCTGTAACGCATCATCTTTTTTAACGCATCTCTGAATAAAAAAAAAATTTTTTTGAGACAGTGTCTCCCTCTGTCGTCCCAGCTAGAGTGCAGTGGTGTCATCATAGCTCACTGCATCTTCAAACTCCTAGACTCATATGATTCTCCTGCCTCAGCCTCCCGAGTAGCTGGGACTACAGGTACACGCCACCATGTCCAGCTAATTTCTCTATTTATTGTAGAGACAGGTCTCACTCTTGCTCAGGCTGGTCTCAAACTCCTGGCCTTAAAGTGGTCCTCCTGCCTCAGCCACCGTGTATCCCAAAGCGCTAGGATTATAGGCATGAACCACCGCACCCAGCCCAAAATATTTCTTTTTTAAAAATTAGGTTCATGAACTCTGAGCGAAGTGTAGGGGATGGAAACACCATTTTCCCAGCGTGTAATGTCTTATTGTCCCTGGAGAGACATGGTACTTAATTCACACTTGGACTTGGGGGTGTGGCCGGCGCACGGTCTCACCTGGCCTCTCCGCTGTGCTCTTCGTCAGGTTGACAGTTAGACGTATTGAAACGTATTAAATGCAGGTTTGTCCCAAGTTTTTTTGTGACTTCTTTTTAGCCTCAGGGTTTCCTCAGCAGACTGAATCTGCAACATCTTTGGACACCAGCCGCAGCCAGTTGATGCTAATCGCTGTTTGTGTGCTCTTCCTTTCTGTGCTAATGCGACGTACACCCAGCCAGATGTTTTCGAACAGCGTTGAGATGTGTGAGCAGGTTCGCAAATACCATGACAGGTGTCACTTGTTCTGGTTGCGGTGTTGTTGTCAGCCCTGTAGACAAGCTGAGATGTGGGGCGCTGGGGGAGGCACCCTCCTGCTCCTACGTGTGCGTCCCTGCGCGCATCAGCGTCGGGGCGGGCAGGGGCTCTGCCTGTGTGCTGGCTGTGCCTGCGCGGGCGCCGCCGGGCTGTGCCCTCTCCCTGCTGTGTCCTCGGCTCCTTCTCCGTGCCAGGCTCCCTCATGCTGTTCCTCTCGCTTCACTTCAAAGTGCCTTTTCCGTCATTTTCCGTCATTTGTGTTCAGCCCTTCCACCATTGTTCTTCCCGTCTGGTTCTCTTAAATCCAGCCCACACCTTTTCAACTCCATGTCCTGAGTCAAGTGTTTGAAAGCTGTTATTTTATGTTAATTAGAAGTTCTTTTTCCAGCCAAGAAGCCTTGCACAGAACCGTTCCCCCAAGCTGAGGCTTAGAGACGCACTCTGGCACTCCCCACCCTGGGTGCAGTTAAAGGAATCGTGGCTAACTGCCATTAGCGCCACCCCACTGCCTGCTGTGCGGGGAAGCCTTCCCACCCCCTGCATGGCCCTTCCTGGGGTGGGCAAGCTCTGTGGGGCGTTCTCGGCGTGCCCCCCAGATAGCTTCGCTGCACGCGGCAGCTGCATGGCCCCCGGGACTCCCCACGGTTCTAGGGTCTCCCCCGGCCGAGATTGCTTGGCAACCACCCCTCATCCAGGAGAGTTTCTGGGCCTCCAAATAGGTGTTGACATGTGGCCATTTATTTGTAACGCATCACCCGGTTGACCCATATAGTTCAGTGGGAGATGCTGGTGGAAAAACTACTCCCACCACATTTTGGACTCAGGACGACTTCAGCAGGAGTCAGCTTCTGGTCAGGCTGCAAAGGAATTTCCTCATCTTGAGATGTTCTTGAGCAGATGCTGGACCCTCTGGTCACAGCTGGCCACACTCTTCATGCCCACCTCCTTGTAGTTCAGGGACTGCCTCCCTCCTGTTACCTGGCCTGTCGCCCCCTCATCCCAACCTTCTGCAAACTCGGGCTGGGGGAGGCTGCAGCCCTGACTCCAGGGCAGGCACCAGCACCCCCTTGCACTTCCTTTGTTCCATTTGGAGGGAGCACTCGGTGTTAACCCATGCTTGAGCTTGGACGGTGACAGGTTGAGATCACCCTTATTCCATTTCTCACAGAGGAAGAAGAGACTTTGCTCTTCTGTGGTACCTTTGAATGAGGGCATTACATCATGCATGGTTGAGGAACTCCCCTGCATGTCTAAATCACTGAAATCACTGGAAACACATTTCTTTATCTTCGTGGTTTATAGAAAAAATAGTAAGCAAATGCTGATTAAGGCCCATTTAACTCAGAGCCCAATTCTAGGCACCGTGGAGGTGAGGCCAGAGCGAGAGAGAGATGTCAGGGTTCTTATACTCAAAAAGAAAATCACATCCAGAAAACAACCTAAGGGCCTCTTACAAAACCTCAGTTTCCTTACCTATTGAAGAGTAGTAGACACTACCTGCCGAGGTGGCGTATTACAGAGATGACACAAGAGCGTGTAAAGTGCCAAACACAGGCTTGGCACGTGGGCGACCCTCAGTAAGCCAGAGCTCCTTCCTCTCTTTTCCTTCTTTTTATTATTATTAACAATAAACACCAGCTAGTGTGGTGTATGTCACATAGAGAAGATAAAGGTGTAAAAGTGGTACCAACAGAAGACTTATTTGATGAGGTGGGGTTTTTACCTGGATTTGGGAAGAATTAAAGAGATGTGGACCAGCAGAGATTCCAGTTGAGGGCAGGCATGTACAGTCACAGAGCTGTGAAAGAAACATAGCATTTGGCCAGTGAGTTCTATCGAGAGGAGTAAAAGGTCCAGTGGGATGCCTGGCACCGGATGGGTGGCGAAACAGGAGTGGCCAGGCGGTGGAGCGCCTTAAAGGACTACACACAGAATTTTGACTTATATTACAGACAGTGAAGAACCATTGTAGTTTCTAGAGCTGGGAATGGAAATGATTTTTGGAGATCTTTATAATAAGGTTTCTGGGGGCTAGACAAGACCATCAGGAAGGAATTTGGGCTTATGCAGGGACTTTCATAGGGCAGTAGTGACAAGACCAGGAACCAAGAAAGCTGATGTCTACAGGCACCCAGGCCGATGTCTGCAGAGAGACATGAGTAGAATTGGGGAATGGCACAACCCTGGTGGGGGGCAAGAAAGATGGAAGGTTCTCTAAGCTTGGCACTCAGGAGGTCTGGGTGGAGGGTGAAACAGTTGGTGGTAACAGATCTAGGGAAGAGACACCTTGGTGATCGTGGAGAGAGCTGTGAAACCCTGGCCCCTATACAGTAGGGCTGGGGAAGATCTAGGAGCAGAGGTCCTGAGCCGGAGTCCTCTTTCCTTATGGGCCTTTAGTTTAGGCTTTTTGAAACTTACAAGATGATGACTATCATTGTGGGGGTTCTCTGTAGATATTTATATCAACTGAGTCATATCTCCTATGTAATTTTGTAAATAAAGATTCACTTTTAGTGAGTTTTTGAGGTTTCACAAATAAATTGGTTTAGTTCTAAAAAGCATGCTTTTAATAAAATCCCTGTGTTCTGAATAAAACTGGCCACTCTCATGCTTTTAACCTGACCACAGATAGTCATGCCATACTTGCATTTGCCTTAGTGGTGAGACTTATGCAAAGCCACATATTGAGCTAGAAGTTTTGCAGTCCTTGGCCCTGCTGCCATGCTTTCCTTGGACCACGCATGTGGACATCCCTTTCTAAAATGAGTAGTTGCGTCCGGGTCTGAGCCCACCACTTTGTCTTTTTTTTTTTTTATTATTTCAGCATATTATAGGGGTACAGATTTTAAGGTTTCAATAAATGCCCATTTCCCCCCCACCCCCACAAGTCTGAGTCTCCAGCACGACCATCCCCCAGATGGTGCACATCTCACTCATTATGTATGTATATACACGCCCCCCTCCCCCCTCCCCCCTCCCACCATGTCTTGTTGGAATGGGGACTCTGGCTTCAGCTGTGTTGTTTTCTCCCTTTGTCTCCCCTCCGTAGACTGCTGTTTTCCAAAGTGAAGTTGGAGTCACTCTGCCGGGGCCCAGACGAGGCGCTCCTCACTTGTAAGCACATGCTACAAATATGGAAATCCTGCTACAACCTGACCAATCCCAGGTAAGAGGCCAGCAGTGCCTGTTTTGTGTGGTTTTTGCATGAGTCTTTGCCTGTCAGTGCCATCTCTGATTGGCATTTAGCAGGCATTAACTCTGTCACTCCTGTGTACCTCCAGATCCCCATGAGTAGCAGATCATAGTGCTGGAGCTTCACCCTCCATTTTTAAGGGGCTTTCCTCTGAGCAGCTGATGAAGCCTCCAAATCATGGGTTTCTTTTGCTGTTGTTGCCACGGTGACCCACTAGGCTCGATTCACAATCGATCTTTATCTGATTTCTCTCTACTTGCCACTTACTGAACTCCTTTGACAAGTCTTAACATCTTTCTGGTAATTTATGTGCAGACTAGTTAATTATGTGTTCCAGATGGAGTTCTTGCAGTAATATTTCAAAGCTGCACATAGACAACAGGCCACATCCTACTAAGGAAAGGAGAATCACAGTTGGCATGATAAAGTATAATTTTCAAAAAGTTAAAATCATGACTCATACAAATATAAAATAAATGCATGTCAAAGATGTTGTTTACCTCATTAACTAATGAAGGAACCAGTAAAATGTTAAGATCAGTTCAAACAAGAATTCGAAAAACAGATATCTATAATCAGGAATGCTGAAATGAATTTGCAAATAGATGCAAAAGGAATATCCTATGAGGCAATGAAATGTATTGTTTGGGGTTATCTTTTCTACAGGGTGGAAATCAATTACATTTCCACTAAACACAATTCATTTGCTTTGCTGTCAGTTTCCTCCAGGTTAACTTCTGCCCCTGCAGAGCTGTAAATGAGCCTACTGGTCAGTAGGAAGCCAGTCAAGGTGCCCATCCCTGTAGAGTCAGATCATCTGGGAAAGTCAGCCCCCAGCATTCCACTGACACACCCAGTAACCTATTTGCCCGTTTCCAAGTCTTGCACAATTTTTCCTGTTTAGATTACTAAGTGAAGGAAGTAATTTAATGAAAGGAGATCTAATGATTCACATGAATTCACACAACTGCTCGTACACTCAGAGTATTTTCCAAGTCCATAGCAAGGTGTATAGGCAGCCCATGTTATGCTCTTAAGAGTCAGGAGCCTAAAATTGTGCAACTCAATCATAAACGAGTACTGAGTATGAGGCAGGCAGAGGGCTGGTGGCCGTGGTCTGCAGAGACCAGCAGGGAGGGAAGGTGGGACAGGCGTGGTGGAGGCAGCAGAAGAGAGAGGGGTTCCATGTGAGATTTTGTTTTGCACAAGTTTCTGCAGTTAAAAAGTGTTGGAAGGCAGGTCCCTGTTAAGGGGACAGGCCTCCTGTGACCTAGCAGCAGACCTGTGACCCCAGGCCCTGTGGGCAGTGCAGCCAAAGCAGGAGAGGTCCCCTGGAAAGCCGCCTGCTGTCCCACCCACCCTCTGACCCGCCTTGAAGGCAGCCACAGGCCCCCTGAGAGGCAGGATGCAGAGGAGAGGCCCCTTCCTAACCACCGCCTGTGGCATGGCGCTTGCTGCCTGCAGTGCCCACCTTTCTCTTGATGAAAGGCAGTCATGGGACCAGCCTCTTTCCTTTTGTGGTTATGTTCTGAAAATAAAGATCATTCTAATTTTTTTAAAAAATTCTACTTTTCTAATCCCGTAAGCAAAAGCAGAAAATGTCCATATTTATATCCCCCGAAAGCCCCGACTCCTGGCCCGTGAGAAGCCTGAGGGTTTGGGGGAGACTTTGCCCCACAGCCCGGCGGGCAGGAGGTGCTGCCGGAGCGGGTGCTCCAGTACCGGAGCACACCCTTGTGCCCGCATCCCCTTCAGAAACGAGAGGATAAATCCATCAGCCTGCATGTCGCCAAGTTTCTCTCAGCTCTCCACACCTCTCCCACCTCCCCACATTTCCTCCCACTTAGCAACCAAGAATATTGAATGTGAGGGGGAAAAAATAGCAGAATTGGAAAGCTTTTTAAAAATACTTAACCAAATGCCTGGGCTGTGTCCATACTTCCTCCGTTTCCTGAAGGATCTTTCAGGGCTGAGCAGGGAGGAACCCTGGCTCCAGGCAGAGTCTGGGTCGGGTGGGGCTGGGGGTGGACGAGCCCCCCTGGGTAGCTGAGAGCTGCTCCCTCCCCGACCCCTGAAACCTTGAGGGAGGGGTGGTGAATTGAGCAGCCCCTCATTAAGGAGTTTCCTGTTGGTTTTTTTAACTTTATTTTCTCTGGGATATAAATAAATGTTTCTCCTGCAGCCCTCACCATTGTGCAAATTTAGACATCCTCCCCAGTCTGCTCGGGTAAGAAGTGACCCTGGCAACAGAATCACGCATGAAGAAGGAAGGGCTGTGTCTTGCCAAGGGACAGCTCATCTCGAAACTCTCCAGACCGGAGCCACCATGGCTCAGGCAGCCTGGAGTCCGCCATCAGGGCATAGGAGGTTTTAGAAGAGGGTAGGGTCGTGTGAACAAGTGCGTGGGAAGCATCCTTTCCTAAAAATAATGTAAAATAAAAACCGAGCAGAGAGCATTTTGCAGGAAGCAGTTGGTTTCTACCTGTATGTGGTGGGGCCGTGCTGACTTCCTGGCTCAGGGCAAGAGCAAGCTCAGTGAGGTGGGTCCTCGCTCCACTAGCCAGTTCCCCTGTCTTCCCCATCCCCCGCTTCCAGACCCGCCCGGAGGAAGGCAGAGGAAGACGTGGGCAGTAACAGGGAGTGAGTGGCCAAACTGGGAATAGACCCTAGCTTCATGTTCCCGGCGACTCATTCCCTCTTTTGTTATTTTTGCTTAAAGGAAAAGTCACACTATGAGCTAGTCACTGAACTGAGCATTAGCGAACTTGCAAATAGTGTTCTGCCTGCAGGTGGAGAATGCATCTCTCGCTGTGAGCCGAGAGGTGGGTGGCGTTCTCTCCAGTGCACACTTGGCGAGGTCTTCGTCATTCTAGAAGCCTGGATTATATTTCTCTCAGTCTGCAGTTCTGCTGCATGTAGGTTAGAAATCTGTCTCGTGTTTTATCTTCTCCGTCTTCGTGAAGTATAAAGCTCCCTCAGTTCTGGTGCATATTGACTTGGCCGCTCACAACAGTGTGAATTCTGACCCAGATCTCACCAGAAGGTCCCAGCAGGCTCCCTGAGCCGAATCGCACAGCATTTCAGCCAGGGATGGTGGTGACCACACTTATTGAAACTCCTCTGTGCCAGCACTGTGCCAGGTTAGGCCACAATGTGTTATCTTTAATCCCTGCACTAGCCTTGCAAGATAGCTGCTATTACTTCCATTTTATAGAAAATAAAATTGAAACTAAAGGAAGCTAAATAACTTGCCTAAGTTTTCCAGTTAAATAGGTAGCAGAGCTGTGACTCAAACCCAGGTCTGTCTAACATCAAAGCTCTCTCCATGACAGCATGCTGCCTCTCTTCAGTTGACAACCAGCTTCTTTTCTTTTTCTTTTTCTTTTTTTTTTTTGTTAACCACGTCTTTCCCTCCTCTTGTCACTGCCACTTGAGACATCTCCATTGTGTAGCCACGAGTTGACATCTCAAAACGATTCAAAGAAGTCCTGTTTCCATAATTGCCAACATATAATATTTAACGTTAACACACACACAATTTTCTTTGCTCTAACCTCAGTTGGAAGTTGGAGACCCCATTTCATACTAACAGTTGCCAGCGTTTGGGTGGAGCTTCTCTTTTTAGAGAACACTCTTCATTTCATCTTCAAAGCAGCTCCATAAAATGGGCAAAGGCTATGTGATATCACACTCATTTTACTGATGAGAATTGAGGCTCCGGAATATTGGGAATCTGCTTTGATTCTTATAATCCAGGCCTAAGAGGCCTGGAGAAAACCAGGACTTCCTCTCCCATCTGCCCCTGCTCTGGTTTCCTACCCAAGTCCCCCTCTTAGATCCAGTATTGATTGTGTGCCAGGCATTACTCCAGGAGCTGGGGAGAGGCAAAGTTGTGAAAAGAATTCCAGGGTTCTGACTCCTTGTCGGCCACCACAACCACCCTGCTCTTTATGCTTAACCTCTGTGTAAGCCGTGGAAGATAGAGGATTTCCCAGGGAAGCTTCCAATCTCCAGTATAACTTTAACTGTCATTACAGTTTACTCTGAATTTTCAGTCCTAATGGGGAACAGAAATTCGCTGGATCTGTGTAGCTACACATGTGGCCATCTCCAGCTTGCGTACCACGGATTTTGGGTTCCTTCCAATTTCTTCTCCCTCTGCTAGCACCACTGACCAGGTGGTCGCCCTTCCTGCCATCCTTCTTGGGAGGTGCTCCTGGCAGTCCATGGCCAGGCCGAGAGGAGGGGAGGCTGTGGGAAGGGAATGGTGGTCCATAGGACACACTCAAGCAGACAGTGTCCCAGAGGGAGAGAGGAAAGTGGCTTTCTAGCTTGCGTGAGATAGACTGGCCATTGGGAGAGATTAAGGAGACTCAAGGGTTGGTCAAAGCCTCCCTTTGCCCCTTCTCCTACATTCTGTGGGTCATAGCAAAGGCAAATGTCAATTGGCTAAGACTCTGCACTACAAAAATAAAGAACTAGAAATTGCTTGAAGCATCCAGTGAAGTCTCAGTCAGTCATTAAATGCCTAATTATTTTTAAGGAGAAAACATTCAGTGTGGAAACAAAAGCTTCTCCATTTTGAATGCTAATTCTTGCTTACACACAATTTTCAAAAGGAACTATGGGAGACAAACTGAGGAATGCAACTGAGTTTAGGTTCTCAGCTGGTGCAGGGGAAATGGATGCCTTGCTGTTATCAGTGGGTGAGGTTCACAAATGAAGATTATGGTTTTAGTTGGAGTTTCTAACATTTAGAGTAGGAGACCCTTAACTCAGCCTCCCCACGCCTCCCACAGCTGCACCAGAAGTCCAGGGATGAATTGTCTTCAGGAACTGGCTGGCCATGTTAACCCCAGATGCGTGTTTGTAGGTATATGGATTTATAGACACCTGGCATGTGCCTAGAAGTGCTCACTCTTCAGAGCGCTCCATCCACAAGGCCTCGTTTCATCTTACACAGCTCTATGTAGGAAGTCCATCCTTGTCCTCCTCTGACTGGGAAGTCCCCGAGGCACAGGGAAAGAGGCCTTGCCCAAAGTGACCTACTCATTAGTGGCAGATGAAGGATGAGAACCGAGACCCCCAGCTGTGTTCCAGGGCCCCAGTTTCTGGGTCCTTCCCACAGCGTCACACATGGCAGCCAACCTGTGCTCTCCAACTCAGCCACGTGGGAAGCCTAGAGGGTAATGGCTGAAACAAACCTCAGATTTGGTCCATAAAAACTCAGTCATATCCTTCCTTTGCAGTGCCAGCACCTCATCGTGTGTTCTGGTATCCCCAAGGTGATAAAAAATATGTCATCAGCTCACCACATTTTAGACAAAGTCTTCTGAAAAACTTATAAGTGGAGAGCCATTGCAGAGTTCAGATAATTGACCCCTTTCAATATTAATTATGTTAAAAATACTACATGTACAGACCGATGCTAGAAGTATTCAGTCGGTGTCGTGATTAATGAAAATTTGCATGTGCTTTTATGTTGTCTTCTGCTCAGAGACAGTTACTGTTTCTGAGTCATGGAAATAATCAAAGGAGCAGTTTCCAAAAAACATGTATAGGATGATGTAATAAGTATAGGCTGACAAATAGTCTGTCCTGAAGGAAGTTTCCTTCTGTTTCCTGTGGATTTCTTTAACTACATCACTGGATGTGGAAATTGCAGCCTGAAAATGGTATTAAGTTTCATACCAAATCTTGTTTGTACTGCTTTTAGCAACAGCTGCATAGAGGAAGGAAATTATGTCCCTTTATTGTAGAATTTGAACTTCTTAACAAGAACAACAACAAAAAAAATCACTCTTAGAGGCCCCAGATTGGAAAAAAAATATAGATTCAAAGAAAAGCATTGAAGTTTCATTCAAACATCAAGAGACAGATAGGATTCTTTGTGGAGATGCTTTGACAGAATGTCATGATGGAGGGAAAAAGCAATAATGTTTACCTGCAAGCTTCTTAGAATTTACAGAAAAACCAAAAACCTATATTAGCTAAGATCCCTTAACTGTGTTGTTCCCAGTTAAGCCTGATGTGCTCCCCCAAGTGACATTGCCAAACGAATGGTGCCAACCCTGTTTTGTAGCCGCGGGCTGGAGAGGGGGGTTCGGTACAGACGGGCGGTGCAGGAAGCTGATAGGAGCTGCGGGCTGGAGCCGGCCACCCAGACCCTGCTGTGTTCTCTCCCAGGCCTTCATGTCCCCATCGTCCCCATTGGCCAGCCGTCTCCAGCTTTGCGGTGCCCGGCAGGGCCTGCAGCTCCAGCTCTGCTGGGGCCACCTGACACCTCCTTTTTCTCATCTATTACAGAAGAATGTCATCCATGCTGTTTAGCCCAAAGGCTTGTTCTGGGGACCCCAATGAGGCCATAACTGCAGTTGCCCTCAGCAAATGGGCCAGGGGTCCTTCAGTCTGGCAGCTGCACCTTAGAACCATCTGTGGACCTTTGAAAAATAGTGCCTGCCTCAGGAGTTCTGATTTATTTGGTCTGGAATGGGATCCAGGTGTCAGTGTTTTCTAGAATGCCCCAGGTGATTTTCTTGTGCAAGGAGGGCTTGGAAGCGCTGGTGTGGACCGTTCACAGAGACAACTCTTGAAGGATTGTGTGTTCATGGATTCGACTTCTAAGACTTCACAGCGCAGGATGCCGATGAGTTTCCCCCTGTAAGGCAGATGGAGAACCTGGCTTAAAGTTTTCGTTTTTGTATCTTATGATGACACAGAAGAGGCTAAAATTAGCAAGGCTCTGTGTTTGCAGTTTAGGCTGTGTTTGTGATACTGCACACTGCAAGGAATCCCAGCCCAGGCTGAGCCAGGAAGCAGGGTGCCCCTGCACGTGTGCAAAGACGCCGAAGAACGCCAAAAGTGCACCAAAGGTGTTCGTTGCATTTCAGGATTATTCTGTATTGGATGATTCTGTCTCCTTCCCTCTTCCCACCTTTCAAATGACTGACATTTGTAGCTGTGTTTTGCAGTGATTCTGGACGTGGGAGCAGCCTCTTAGATAGAACCATTGCTGACAGACGACAGCTTAATACAATTACTTTGCCAGACTTCAGCGATCCTGAGACAGGTGAGAATAAAAAGCCAGAGGGGACAAAATGGTGTCACAGGATTATGGGGCCTGGCCCTGAGTGGTGTGGGATGAGACTGGGGGGCTGGGGTTGGAGAAACTCCTCACACAAATAGGGTCAACACTCAACTGAGGTACATTTTCTCTAGTATCTTTTTCAAGTGTTGACAGTGCAGGCAGTAATATTATTTGCCCAGCACATTGCTTTGAAATCTACTTTCCCCTTGCTCTTAAAGCTTAAAATCTGAAACTAAAATTAGGTGGTTTCCATCCCTGTCAGTTTTCCCGTCTGCTTCTCTCTTTCTCCTCCTCTCTCTGGCTTTCAGACCTTGCTGAAATCAAGGTTTTGATTTCTAAGCAATTGCACATATAAACACACGTACACCCAGCGAAAAGACCCCTGTAGGGTGGCAGGTGGGTTCTGAGCTTCTAATTCCACTGCCCCAGGTGGAAGCCTGTAGCACTTACTGCCTCTGAGCAAAAATGTCATTTGTGTGTTCCGCATTTGCCTGAGCACAGGGAGTCAGTGTACCTCTATAATTCCCACAACTCCAAGCAATAAGTCCAGCAGTGATGCTGGTCGAGTTTCCCTTATCCAAAATGCATGGGACCAGAAGTGTTTTGGATTTCGGATTATTTCAGATTTTGAAATATTTGTATATACATAATGAGCTACCTTGGGCATGGGACCCAAGTCTAAACAAGAAATTCATTTGTTTCATACACATAGCCTAAAGGTAATTTTTATACGATATTTTTAATAATTTTGTGCATGAAACAAACTTTTGGCTGCATCTTGACCATGACCTGTTCCATGAATTCAGATGTGGAATTTTCCACTTGTGGCATCATGTCAGGGCTTAAAAACATTTGGATTTTGGAGCATTTCGAATTTTAGATTTTCGGATTAGGAGGCTTAACCTGTACTGACTGACTATTCAGTGGCAATCTGGACTCAACAGATCCACGGAACATAATGAAATTCACTCTGCTTTGAGCCTCAAAGGTAGTTCTAGAGCATTGAGCCTGCTTCTGTTGCTTCTCCATGTAAGGCCTGTCAGGTATGCCTGGTCTTTTATGGGCTAGCTTCATGAAAGGAGCCACAGGGTCCTTTTCCTGTCCTCGTGTGACATCCCAGCTCCTTACAGAATCCTTCCAAAGCAAGCCAGAGAGCAGCCCTGAGTCATGCCCAGCCAGAGCTCATCCCCTGGGAAACCTATCCCCAGGTGGGATGGGAGGCGTAGGGCCTCTGGCAGCCAGGTGTGTGCTCTGCCCAAGCCCGCCCTCACAGCTGCCTGCAAGACTGCATTTCTGCACTAGGCTCCTTATACTAAATTTAAAGTTAGCTTGAGAAGTCTGATCCAAGGGCTCTGGGCCTCCCAGGTCAAAAGACTGTTGGGCACTGGAAGAGGCACAATTGTAAATTAGTGCAGTTTAACCTGGTCTGCAGCCAATGCTCAAAATGCAAACTGAGCCCTAGAAAAACTCATCCCCTGGAGTGGCCGGACCCCTGGGATTGGTCATCAGTCACTGGTGGGCTTACATGGCAAAATAGGCAGGGACCCTGGCTGGAATAGCACAGCAGAGTTCTACCTCTTGGGTCCAGTCCTGCTGCTAGAGGGACCTGTCTAACCCCTGTCATCATAGGGAAGAGGTCAGGCTGTCAGATAGCCGCTGCAAGGTGAGGCTGGGACATGAGAGAAGAGAAGAAGGTGAAACTCACCAGCAGCAGTTTTGGCTGATTCAGAACAGCTGCTACAGCTGCCCAGGGCTGTTCTCCCACTTTCCCCCTCCTCAGTGCCCTGTGAGGACAGTCATACTAAATTCAGACCCCCCCCCTTCCTTCCAGCTGGCTTGGACCTTAATTTCCCTGGAGGTCCCAAAACCTTAATGCCACATCACATTGAAAACAGATAGTGGCAGAAAATAAATCAGGCCGTTGTTGATTCTCCCCTTCGCACGTTGGGACATTTCCCCTAGAGTCCTTAGGAGTCTCCCTCTTCAGGTCAAACCTTCTCAGATGCCATGGTGTTTAGGTGAGACGTGTCCATGTGGCGCAGTCTGGGGAGCAACGCTGCCCCCAGGTCAAGCCTGGTCCCTTCTTTCTCCTCCCCTGTCTCCTTAGTGGTGTCAGTGCAGCCACTCTCTTGGGAGGGGCACCCCCTCACTCGTGGGGAGCCCAGGTGTTTAGAGGCTGGACTGCTGGTTCCTAGGCCCTTCCCGAACAATAGAGGGAAACCACAGCCTCCCAGACACTGGCCAGTGACCATTTTGTTGTTGTTGTACTATTCACAGGAATCCTTCCAAGGCTCCTTCCACTGGCCCTGCCCCCAGAGCCACAAAGTATTGGTTTGCACACCATCCATCTAACCGAGAGACCAGGCAATCAGAAACATGGGAGGCCACATTAGAAGGCATTATTCATTGTAGATCATTTGTAAATGAGGTTAAAACATTCTGGAATGACAGTGTAAATCCAAGAGACTTAAAAATTAGGAAGGCTTGGCCGGGCATGGTGGCTTACACCTGTAATCAGAGCGCTAACTCTGGGAGGCCGAGGCGGGAGGATCGCTGAAGGTCAGGAGTTTGAAACCAGCCTGAGCAAGAGCAAGACCTCATCTCTACTAAAAATAGAAAAGAATTAGCTGGACAACTAAAAATATATAGAAAAAATTAGCTGGGCATGGTGGTGCATGCCTGTAGTCCCAGCTACCTGGGAAGCTGAGGCAGGAGGATAGCTTGAGCCCAGGATTTTGAGGTTGCTGTGAGCTAGGCTGACACCATGGCACTCTAGCCTGGGCAACAGAGTGAGACACTGTCTCAAAAAAAAAAAAAAAAAATAGGAAGGCTTGCCTAAAAATAGAAAAGATGCCTTCATCTTGATTAATAAAGCCCAATAATTCAAAAGCTAAAGATAATTCAGAAATTACCATCCAGAAGTTTTGTTTCCATACTTGCCCCTCCATCTTCTCTTTCCCTAAAGGTAACCATTTTTATTAGCTTTGTTTCACCATTCCAGTGTTTTTTTGTGCAAATAAACATATATATTATATTATTTCCCATGACCTCTTTTATAACAGTCACACACTATGCATGCTGTCGAGCATTTGACATTTTTCACTTCACAGTATATCTGAAAATGCCTCTCTATCCTTCCATACAGAATTTCCTCATTCTTTTTTTTTTTTTATTTCAGAATATTACGGGGGCACACACATTTCTCAATCAAAGAAATCCTCATTCTTTTTTACAGCTTTGTGATATTCCATAACCCATGCATTTTATATTCTGGAGTCTCTTCCATCCAGCATGACCTTAGCCATTTTTCTTCCCTTTGCCACAGTTTTCAGTTCATGTGCTGCCGGAGGAGACTGGCTAATTTTGAACATCCACTGCAGCACTGCCCAGCTAGAAGAGCAACTGGGCTACAGAGAAAAAGAGAAAAGGAATTTGTCTGAGGTCAGGATGGTTCCAAAACAAACAGAAGTGACCGTGAGATCAGACATGGCCTGGGAGAGCCCAGCCCCGGCAGGTGGCAGCTCATCGATGGCACTGGTCCGTCCCATGCACGATGCTCCACTACTTTTCCAAATCCCCTTTAAAGGGCACAGGCGTCCAGCACGAGCAAAGCCACACAGCGCTGGCATCAGGGAGGGCGCACGGCCAGGGTAACGCTGAGCTTCCACCATCACAGCCGTGCCAGCTCTGGGGCACAGGGCCCAGAGTCACCCGCTGTGCAGACAGATTCCTTTGTGCGGCCACAAGTCCTCTTGGATAGGTTTGGTTTTGTTTTTTCCCCCAGAACTAAATTTGTTTTCTTTTTCTTTTTAAAAATTTCTATTATGGAAAATTTTCAAGTATGCCAGAATAGAGACACTAGTATTCCCATTACCCACCACCAAGCTTCAATAATTAATATCTTGTTTCTTCTCTCTCTCCTGTCTTGCACTTGGCGTTTGTAGAGTATTTTAAGGCAAATCCCTAAAGTTATATTTTACCTATTAAAATTTTAGGATATATGTCTAACAGATAATAGCTTAAAAAATATATAGCCACAAATACCATTGTTATACATCCTGGGTCATTATACAGTACATTATACAGCTGGTGTTCTTGATTTTGGAAGTGGTTGATTAACTAGAGTATGGTTTCCCACCTCTGAAATTGTCCATATTGCAGATCTGTGGAATAACATTGGGAGGAACCCATGTCTACAAGCCCCTCTTATAGAATACAGTTGCCCCTCTGCTATCACCTCTGGCTCTTCTTGCCCCACCTCTGTCATATAAAATGTCCCAGCCAGTGAGAGAGAAGAATCCATTGGAGTGGCAGTCTTTACTTTGAAGCTATGAGTCATTGTCTTTTCTTTGGAATAAGTTGGTAGTTCCTTAAATAGAGGATGAAAAAATTTTTTTTCTGCCTTTTGCCTTCAAAACAGGACGTGGGATAAGGAGATTTATCTTTAATAATTGGTATGATATTACCAGATACCTATCCAAAGCAAAATCATTCTTTTAACTCGAAAGTTTGATCCATTTTGTTTGGGCAGATTTCGAATTGCAGCTGTGACTGCCCGGTTGCCACGTGGTGTCCATCTGCGAGACACCAAGGCAGCAGTACTAGCTTCCTTCTCAAAGTGCCCATCCAGGGCACCCAACCATACCCCACCTTGGAAAGTGGGCTCCATAGTCACAGTGCTGGGACTGTGACATATCGATGCACCCCAGTACACCTCACCTTGGAAAACCTTAGTTTTCAAGTGAGCTGTATATAAGCGCTTCTCATAAAAGACAAATCTATGAAAAGTCAAGTCCTAACCCATTCCAAAAGGAAAGCAAATAGTTTCCCCTAGAATATTCTGAGTATTGTAGACTAAAGGTGTGTTACTTTTAGTGGATCACACTGCCCAGGTAAATCTTATTTTTATTCCATGGTGTTGTTGCAGACCAATTAAATAACCAGTGGAAAAACAAATTTGTTTTCTTCCAAAAGCACTTGTATCCTACTGTCAGTAGAGGAATGATTGTGTATTACATGACCTCATTTTCTTTGCAGCTTATGTGAGTATATTAAAAGCTAGTTTGGTTTATTTCTTTGTGTTTCTAAATTTTTTTTTTTTGCCTTCATCATTTTTTTCTCTTTCACTTTTTTAGTGTCAGATTCCTCCTCCTCCTCCTCTTCTCTTTCAAGAACCGAGTCTCCTCTCCACCTGTTTGTGTCTTCTCATCTTCATTCTCATCCCAAACCCGATACCTTTGTGTGGCCCCCTGCAGCTCATTCGTTCAGTGACACAGGTCCCCACCACCGCCCGGAACCCTCTCTCTGTAAACATGGTTTTTCCTTTCTTGTTAAGACCTGCTTCACTTGCCTGTTTGACTTTCTGATAATCTTCCTAACTGATAAGCTGGATAGGAAACTCCATCAAACTTGTCAGGGAGAGAATCTCGGTGATTCGGAAATCTGAAAGCTGTTCAGGGCAGAAGGAAACCTGGGATTGCAGACGTCGGTGCCCAAGTTCCAACCTCCCCTTTGAAAAGTAAAGGAAGCCTGCTCTGAGCAGAACAAATGGAAGCTTTTCTAGAATGTTGCTTCTAATTCTTTGGTACTTCTGTGCTTTACTGGAGTTGATAATAAATGCATAAAAATTAATGCTATTAAAAAGAGGAAAAAGGGCAAACGATGGCATTTTGCAAATAATAATTTAATTCTAAAAACGTATGGTTTTCAATTTAGAAATTAATTCAACCAGTATATAGTAATCAAGGCTGTATTCTACTGATAATGGCCACGGGCCCTTTAAATACGTGATTCTCAAACTTAACTGTGTATTAAAATCACAGGGAGAGCTTTTTAAACAGTTGATCCCCTGGTCCCCACCCCCCAGAGTTGATGATTCAGTGGGCCCGAGATGGGGCCCAGGAATCTGGATTTGTAAACTGCCCCCTTATGATTCCAATGCCAGTAGGTTATAGACCACATTTTGAGAAATAGTGCTATAAACCGTTTTCCATTTGCAACAAAGAAAAATGTAGGGTTTGTGTTATGAAACTGCAGAGAAATGGAACGGTATTTTAGTCTAATCTTGTTTTCAAATAATACAGAAATTTTTAAAATCTGCTTTAGGGAGTTCCAGGACCTGCCGATTAACAACAACAACAACATGAAAGATCCCTGTATTATAATGAAACACTGACTGGTAAAGTCCTTAAATGGAGCCTAAATATGGATCTCACCAGGACAGTCCACCCTTGTGTTCTTTTCACTCATTTATTTAATGTTCACTTTATTACCACCACTGCCAGAAAATTTAATCTCTATATCCATGATTTATAAGGGCTCATCTTTGTTCCAAATGCTCAGTTATATGCTGAACAAAAGCTCATAAGGGGAACTGCTGCCAGAAAGAACTACTTTCTCTAATGTGCTCATCTTCAGGATGGCTAACCCGCTGCATTCAACTCACACACACACACAAAGCCAGGGCAGAAATGAGGTTACCATTTAAAATAAACCATTCAAACCAAGAAACACTATGACCTTACTTCTCTGCATATTAAGTGTTCTGAACTTTAATGGCAATCCCAGTTTTATGAAATGGAATATGAAGCTAATGTTTATAAACTGCTTATGTTGTTTTTAACGCACTTCTTAAAATAGACATTTGCTCTTAATACAATGCCTTGGAGCTATTGCCAGCTTCAGTTTTTCCAGAAAAATTGTTTTTTACATTAACTTTTGCCGTGTTTATTATCTTAAAATGGGATCTTACTGTTCTAGAATAACATTGTATGTTCCCAGTGTCCCGTCCACTGTTGTTTGCACAACAAACCTACCTGCCAGTGTTTATCGTGTTGCATTCTGGGAGCCCTGTGTTCCTTTGAAGATTGAAGTCCGGACTCTTCCAGTGAGGCACTTTTTATCAGATTAATTAGTAAATTGATGAGCCCCCACTGGGCTTTCTGCTGAGTATAGTACATCCCAAGCAGTGCGCAATTGTTTATTTGTGAATCTTTCCATCCTCAGGGAGTGCCTCGCCAGGAACCAGGTGTTCTAACTAGGACTGAAGCTCTGACAAATCCCCACTCCCACAAAGATACAACATTTAGTTAGAGAGGGGGGAAACATACTGATAAGTGTAGAATTTCTTGATTAAAACTGTAATTAATGTAAATCCCACCTCTTTCTGTCAGGACCAGCTGATAGCCAAGGCCTGAAGTTTTATGAATTTCTCCCTCCAACCCTTTGACTTCATAGGAATGAAAAACTAGCCCAACCCTACAAACTGTTGGAATCATGATGAAGGTTAATGTGTGGAAGGACCTGAGACCCGCTCGTTTGATTATTTTTCCCTTCCCTTTGGAATTTCCTGCTTTGGAAACAAAACACATTACATGAATTGGTCAGCTTTCATGTGCTCAGTGAACATTTAAAAGGATAGGGGAATGCCCAGTTGGCCTTTCTTTGATTTAAAAAAAAAAAAAAAAATCATTGTTAGTGGAAAAAGTGTGTATCACTCTTGAATGGAAATCTGATTCCAGACAGCCAGACTTAACAGTTGGAAGGTTATTAGAATTCTGTTCGCTTTTATAGCCTTAATTTTGATTTCCAAATGTTTTGTTTCTTGGTTTTAATTTTTGGTTTGATTTGTTGTTCCAAGGCAACTCTCCAGAAGTATACTTTCATGGTTTTCCTTCCCTTTTTTCAGTTAGTAAGTAGTTTACCGATCTGTTAACCCTCTGAGGGTCTCCAGAGTCACACTCCCCCCACCATGGAATGTGCACTGTGGTTGTCGAGTGTTGGGAATGTTGAGATGATGGACGTCAAGCTGCCACCTGCCTGCCCACTCTGCCACCTGGAGCCCGACCCCTGAGATTCTAATGCATCCGGCGCAGCTTGGGTTTACGTGCTGAGGAGGCAGCATTGACCTGAGGAGGACTGCAGAAGCAGGCATTGCAGGCAAAGTGCCCAAGGCAGGGTGTGCGGTGGGTAGATGAGAGCTGCCCTGGTAATGACCGGAAACGTGAGACACCCAGCCCCCCTAAGGTGGGTCACCTATACATTGGAGGGAACCAGCTGAATCTTGAAGTTCCTTTCCAGCGCAACCATTATTGCTGCATAGAAAAGCAGTTTTAATGGTTCATTTTCCTAAAATAAGCTAAACAGACATCACAAAACTTAAAGCTGTCCCTACCTAAATTTAAAGGAGACTAAGCAATTCCCTGCTTTAGGTGGTGTTCTTTTAAGTCATTGGTAAATGACCACATTTTCCAAATGATGTTTTTTAGACCACTGGTGATCTTTGGTCAAGTATTTTTGAGCAATAATCTATCTCCTGCCTAGAGATTTACAGTTTACATTAGCACATTAAAGGTTCTGAGAAGTTCTACAATTTAAAAAATTCAAGACTTTGTTTGACTCAGTCTTCCCAAGCTAATTTAGTCATTTTTTCATCCTGTGAAGTCAGTGTTTCATGGATTGCATCGTGGGAAATGCTGGTGTTATATATGGTGATCCAGCACATTTGAATTATCTGAGCCGTTAGCTCGTGGCAAATAACCCTCTTTCACACAAGGAGTTGATTTCCCCCTCTGAAACCCAGCTCAGCCCAGACTTGCCTTTATTTCTGGCTTGAAAACAGTCCATACTAGAAAAGAGGCATGTTTTGGTATTATTATCACATTAGGTGCTTCATAAAAAAGATTTCACTGCCAGTTTCCTTTCAATACCATGGGCCAGTTCTGCAGAAGAACCCAGGCAAATCATTTAATCTTTCTGTGCCTTAGTTTTCCTTATCTGCAAAAATGTAAACTTAATAATTATTCTATTTACGCATGCCTTTATGATTTGGCATTGATTGATCCCGATTTTAAGTCCTGGTCAGGTGACTGCACGGGATTCGGACAAGCCATTCAGGACCCTGTCCACACTGCCTATCGATCCTGAGACCGGGGACCCCAGGGAGCCCCCAGCCTGAGTGCCCCAGCAGTTGTCTTTTTGGTAGAAAATGTGTGTTGGTGATTTATTCCCCCACCCAAAAACATGCTAAAGTCAAGACTGCTGACTTGGGTTCTTGGCTTAGTTTTTCCTATCACTAATTCTGGCGAAATTGCTGCTCTCTTTAGCAGTAAGTCACCAGGAGAAGGGACTAAACAGATTAATGAAAGAATACATCTCTAAAATAAAATAGATTGAGAAATGAACTCAAGATAGTAGTGGTTTTTTTTTTTCCTCTTTGCATTATGACTAGCATTTTATTATTGACATCACTTTTTCTAACCTTCAAGAATGTATGTGATGATGAGGAAGTGATTGGTCAGGTGGCATATTTCACCCTCTGTTCCTGCTTAATAGAATAAAGTAGTTTTTTGTGTTTTTTTTTTTAATGTGTGTATGTGGAAACATCACTCTGTGATGACGCCACCATTTTCAAGGGGTGGCAATTTAAAAAATTCAGCCCTAATACGTAACCTTTTCTTGTTACTTTAATTAAACTAAGATTAATTCAATATAATTCCCCTTAATTAGTTCTGTGGTGTCTTTCTTTAAACATGATTGAATGCAATTATAGGAGATTGACAAGTCAACAATAAATGCACTCAGAAGTGTCCAGAATTAGATCATCGAAACCTAGGAGGCTTTCCCCATAACGCTGCCTTCAAAGGCAAACACGGAGCGGCTCAGGGAGCAGCAGCTTCCCCCAGGCAGAAGGGCACTTCAGTCCAGAAACAGCCTCATGAATATGCAGCGGGAGGGTTTAAGTGGAGATGGAAGCTTCTGCCCACTGTAGTCCTCCAGAAGGTACTGTCTCTAGCCCAGAGCCACCGGCGGCGGCTCACTCTGACAGCTGGCATCTTCCTGCATGCTTGCGAGCGGCTTCCCTCCACGCTTTCCGTGTGGCCACCTGGCCCTGCCAACACCCGCCAGCAGCATGCTGCGCCGGCCCCCGCATGCCCACTGGTGACGACATAGCCCGGTCTCTCCCTGCCCTAGCGGGATCCTGCCCTAAAGCTTTCCCTGGAAAGAGCTTTCCCCCTTCAGGAGAAGACACAGCCTGTCAGGTTGAAACTGTGCTTGATAGTCTGTTAAAGACCAGTGGGAAACTGTGATCTTGTCTT